GTTCCTCAGACTCTGCAAAATTAATTTTTTGGTACTGAGAATGTTTCAGTGCACAATCTTTTTAATGAACAAGGAGATTGGGATGTGATGAAAGTTAATGAACTTCTATTTTGTGTTTCATCACTTATCCTTAATTTACATCCTCTTAATGCTAATATTGATTCACCTACTTGAAAAGGTCCAGGTGATGGAAAGTTCTCTACCTCTAGTGCCTATAGGATCATTTCTGGTAACTTAGGACTGGAGGAAGACTGGAGTTGGATGTGGAAATTATGGCTACCACAGAAACTTAAAAGCTTTCTGTGGATTGTTATGCATGGTAAAGTCTTAACTAATCAGTTGAGAAAGAAAAACGGCATGTCTTCAGACCCTAGCTGTCCCAATTGTAATGAGGTGGAAGACATGAACCATCTATTTCGAACTTGCTACAAAGCTAAAGTTGTTTGGTTAGCTATGTTTGGTAGGCCTTGGTATACTACCATGATTCAAGAACCTTGGCTGGATTGACTTTTCTCCAATTCCAGAAATAAAACTCATTTTAATTCTTAAACCACTTGATATACTATTTTTGTTGTTTGTCTTTGGCAAATATGGAAAAACAAAAATCAAAAAAAAATTTCAACAAACTGTGACTCTTAGCCAACACAGTGTAAAACTTATTTTGAGCTATGCCAAAGAGATCAACCAAGCCTTTAACATGGCCATTGTTAATGCTAGACCAGCTTTTAATCTGATTAAGTGGATTCTCCCCCCTGTAGGTAGGATTAAATTGAACACGGATGGCTACAGAAAGCTAGGAGGTGATGGTGGCTTTGTAGGACTATTTAGAGATGACGCAGGAACATGGTGTTGTGGCTACTATGAAAGAATACCTCATGGTACAAGTCTAGAAAATGAACTTTGGGCTATCTATAAAGGTCTAACAGTTCTGCTACAAAGAGGATGGAACAAAATCATAATTGAGATGGGTGCTATGCAAGCTATGAAGCTGTTGGAGGAGGAAATAGAGGCGAGCTCGCTGTACAAAGGTCTCTTAGACGATGCCAAGATTATCATGAGAGGTTGTGAATGTATTGTGCAGCATGTATTCAAAGAGGGAAATATGTGTGCTGATGCACTCGCAAAACTTGGAGCTAAACAACCAGAAGATATCCTAGTCGTGAATAAGCCACTGGCTGAGATCCGAAATCTGCTTGTTGCAGATATCATCGGTAGAGCTAAGGAAATGGCTTAGGCCTTTGTTTATGTTTTATTTCCGATGTACCTAAAAAAAAAAAAAGATGCAATAATTGAGGAATAATTACATGTACATCATCTTAACTATCTGAATTTATCCCTTTTGTTATTGAAATTAAATTTGTATAGTGTGAGATTTATGTGTAAAAAAATTTACACAGTAAGATAATAGTTTTAAGTAATTTTTGAATAATTAATTTTAAATTTGTAGTATTACTCATAATTGAGGGAAGAAACATAAATAGGGCAATGTCTTGTCTTCGGTTGGTTGGCATGCGGAGAGGGGGAGGAAATGGAAGTGCATTGTTGGGAAAACTATAAGGGGTAAATTGCACTAATTACTTCTCTTGAGATTTTTAATAATTACAAACATTTCTTTTGAGATTTTAAAAATTAAACTGACTTCTCTTATTTTAGCAAATATTTATCTTCTGTTAATTTTTCCCTAGACACCGTTAACTCTTGCAATGTCTATTTATTCTTTTATTATCTTTTTCCCTTCACTAACCATTACCTATTTCCCCTTCCACTTTGTAGCTATCCTAGCCACTACTCCTTGCTTGTAACTCAAATTTTAAAGTGAAATTATTGTGTTTTATTACAAATTTTAAAGTGAAATTATTGTGTTTGAAAAAAATTAATGATACAATTATGTATTTTTATGATAATATTATGCATTTTTATCGAAATATTACTCAATAATTTGGAATATGTTATAATCTATTATGATTTAGAAACATTTTGATTAAAAAAAAAAATTAATACTACCATAAAAGTACATAATTATATCACAATTGTTATAACAAATAATATATAATAATAAATTATCATCACGCTGTTAGAAAATTAGATAACATTTGCCACAAAAATTTATGATATTTATAAAGAAAATACATAATAACATGGTGTGGTGGTGGTCGTAGTTGTATTGTTATTCGAAAAATGGTGGGATGGTGGTGATAGTAATTGTATTAATCAATTTATGTCTCCAAACCAACTGTTACCAAAAATGAAAAATTAACATGATTTAATTTTATGGTAGGTTGAATAGTGATTTTCAAATCAAATTCATTTGGGTTTAGTGTTCTTGATAGAGCATGAATGTTTGGTTGAATAAAGAAATAAAAAATTTGGAATGATGAACTTCAATTAAGTGAATGAGAAATCAAAAAATAGGAATTGAATTTAACAAATTTTTATAGTGGGTCTGGTGCTTTTGGGTGAAAGAAGTTGTATGCTTATCTTTTGTAGACTGCTAGAATTTTGCCAAAATATATATTTACGAAGACGGTTAAAAAATATGAAAAATGTGTATATTGTATGTATTTTATTAGAAAAATTCTATAATACACACACTATTTTGGGGTGTGTACCATATGCCAAGTTATGATATTTGTATTTTTCGGTTATGACCTATTTTGGTGTTAGTGATGATTTGTTATAACAACTGTGATATAATTATATATGTTTATGGTATTATTATTATGAACATGTTACTTAATCATAATAGATTATATCATATTTCAAATTATTAAGTAATATTTCGATAAAAAAGGCGTAACATTATCATAAAAATATACTAAAAAAAAATTAATGGTGTCTAAGGAAAAGTTAATAGAAGGGGATATTTGTATGTTATTAGTTAAAATAAGTGAGGTCAGTATAATTTTTAAAACTTCAGGAGAGATCTCTATAATTGTCAAAAAACTCGGGGAAGGTAAGTGCAATTTACCTAATTATAAGATATTTTCGGTATATCATGCGGTATAAGCTATGTAGTATTTTTAGTCAATAAAAATCACATCATATATTAAGTGGGTAATCATTTATCTCATAAAAATTTACTGAAGGTGAGTCAACATATTTTATTTTAAAAAATTTTTGTTACATGATTGGCTTGAAAAATCATATAAATAATGCCATATAATACAATGAAATTATTGAATAATTATCAGGCAATGCAATATACGCAGTTATTTTCTTAAACAATGATACTACTACAACCACCACATTTACATATCATAAAGTATTTACTATTATGTTCACAATTAAATTAGTAACAAAAAAGAGTAGTGTGGAGTCATTTAAATCAATATAATGATAATGAATTTAATGGGATGATAAACACTTTATAATATATAAATCTAGTAACTATAATATATTATTATTTATCCAATTATCTAAAGTAGGTAACTGAAGAAGAAGTTTTCGTACATCTTCTTTGTATATATAAAATTCCTTTTAAGTGAGTGTAGGTGGATTATCAATATAATGATAATGAATTTAATGGGATCATAAACACTTTATAATATATAAATCTAGTAACTATAATATATTATTATTTATCCAATTATCTAAAGTAGGTAACTAAAGAAGAAGTTTTCTTACATCTTCTTTGTATATATAAAATTCCTTTTAAGTGAGTGTAGGTGGACTAATCTTTTTCATGTATGATTGGTTTCAATCTTTTCAAAATCTTTACCAAATAGTTTATTTAGAAAGAAAGGCTTAAAAATTATAAATGGGAAGAGAGATACAATCCTTATCTTGACATGAGAGGACGACTTTAGATAGTTTTCAAGAAACACCTTTAATTCAATACCCAAATATCCAATGTCTCCAATAATGCACCGTGATTTATAGATTTTGAATTTGATTTCACTTATAAACTGGATTGAATAAGCCACGATTGAGAATTTTGATCAAGAATGTATCACTGCGTTGGTACTCACTGGGGTGTGGTAAAGATAAGAGCTTATTTGTAGTTGTCATCTTGTCCACTGCTTCTGCTTGATTTTTTATTTTTTTATTTTTGTAATTTTCTCCATGTGATCTGTAGATGGCCTCTTGGCTTGTTCTATAGTGATTTTTTTATTTTTTATTTTCCTTGTATTCAGTACAACATATATGAGTTTTAAAAACTAAATGTTTTGATCGCAAATGAAAATTTTGTTGTAAAAAAGGGACTAATTTTCATTGTCACAAGGAGTCGTTAGAAGGTCATCCCGAAAAGTCAAAAATAAGGATTTAAACGACAAAATTTTGAAAATATCACTGATAAATAGATTTTTAGAGACAAAATAATTTGGTTTTAAAATGGTTTATTTTTTGAGATAAAAAATTGATTTCAAAAGGATAATAATTCATCACTAATATCCAATTTTCTTTACTAAAAATATAATTACACTTTTCCTAATAAAAATATTTGGTTCTTAAAAAATAATTTTGTCCCTAAATTTTGATTTATAAAATCTTAATTTTTTGTAGTGATTGTTTTAATCCTAGTAATAAAAAAGCCAATAATGTGCATTGTGAAGAATTATGCACACAACCAATGAATGAATATACATTATACATATAATTTGGCATCAAACCACAACAGGCTAAAATGAACTATGGTCAAAAAATAAATAAAATAAATATTTTATTTATTTTTTACTTTTTACATAGACAATCGAATCTCAAAATGATTTAGACAGTCTAAATCAAACAAAAGATGATAAATATCTCTTAAAACTAATTTCGGTGTGACATTTGAGTCAAATTTCCAACAAGTGGGTAATTCATCATGAAAGGGCAAAGGTGATGATGTATCATACATATCTGTTTCCCATTAATTTAACATTCACCCAGTCAAGCAAAAAAATCACATGCGCAATGGCAACAAGACAAGAGAAGGCTTTAATAAGGGTTAGTGCATATCTCTTGATTTTATTTATTTTTTTGGTTTCAACAGTGATATGGGCATGCTATATAAGTCTGGGTTGTTATTATCAAACTCAGCCAAACAATCAAAGCAAGCTTTGTAAGAAACACATTGCAATGGCTCTTAGCTTTGTAGTTCCCCTCTCTCTTCACACTTTCACTCTACCTTATCCAAGCTCTTCCCCACAATTAGTATCCATTCATGGCCGATCTCTGCGTACTGTTCGATGCATTGTTGTTTCAGAGCCTTGCAATCAAAAGCTTGTTAGACGATCTGCGAACTACCAACCTCCCATTTGGGACTATGGCTATGTGCAATCACTAAATAGTCAATATGTGGTATATATATAGTTAATGTTATTATATTGTGCTTCATTAGTGGATTCAAAACAATGGTAATTTCGCTAACAATGAAATTGTTTTGTTAGGCAGATGTATATGCAAAAAGGGCTGCAAAATTGAAGGAAGAAGTGAAGGTAATGCTTAAGAAAGTAGTGGATATGGATCCACTGGATGGACTTGAGTTGGTTGATGACTTGCAAAGGCTTGGAGTGTTCTATCACTTCAAGGAAGAGATAGAGAATGTTTTGGAAAGCATATACAACTACAGTGATGATAAGTGGAGCAAAGAGGATTTGTATGCTACAGCTACCAAATTTAGACTTTTGAGGCAACATGGGTATAATGTCCCTCAAGGTACTTCAATAACTTCCTCAATTTTTTTTCCATTTTTTTTTAGAAAAAATTATACAGTAGTATATTTACTTTTTACCCTCTGTGTCAATTTAATCCATGAAATTGCAATTGTATATTATGCTCTTAATTTTTTTTTTTATAATTTCTCTCAATTCAGTCTAATTGATGATATCTATTAGCATTTAAGAAAGAAAAAATAAATTATAAATTATGCACGTGAGCCACACGTCATGCTTTCAGGGGAAAATTATATATTTGCCAATATATTCCCATTTAACAGTGAGTTACGTCACTCATAAATAACCCATATACATGAAGAAAGATAGGAGAAGGAAGAAGGTGGTGAGGGGGCTTGGGTAGGGATAAGAATGTGGCGACAAGGCTCTAGGCTCAAAGCTCAAAGATGGAGGGGGAAGTGATATAAGGCGAGAAAGGGGCAGAGATGCAATAGAGGGGAGTTAGGCAACGAGGGTGTTAGGGAAGAGCCAATAATGTGATGTGGAAGTGGGGAGGAGCCGGAGCCGGGATAGTGGAAGGTGAGGGTGGTGGTGCAACCATGCAGTGAGTAACAAGTAGTTAGTTGATGGTCGGTTTTGGGAATGGATAGAGGTGGTGCAGGTGGTTGGTTACTGGTGGTGATTGGTTTTAAAGGTGGATGTGGTAGATGGAGCTTGTGCATGTGGTTAGTTGATGATGGTGGTTGGTGGCGGTGATGGCAATTGTTGAAAAAGAGGAAGATAATGGACCATTTTTCCCTTGAAAAAAACGACACATGCCTAATTTTGTCAAAAAACCAGACAGTATTGTATATTAGACCAAATTGAGACAATAAAAAATTTAGCACAAAATTAAGTTAATTGTAATTACAAAAACCAAATTGACAGAAAGAGCAAAGTGTAGTGTATACCAGTGTAGTTTTGCCAAAGATTTACGAGGGAAACCCCCCCCCCCCCCGCGGGGGAAAAAAAAAGAAGAAAAAGCATAAAAAATAAATAAATGAGAATTGAAGGGAAAAAAAAATGGTAAGCTGAAACAATTGGGCGTTAATGCTTGAGCTTTTTATCTTCATTTTAGCTAATTGGTAGCTAGTTTGGATTGCAGAGATTTTTAACAATTTTCAGGACGAAAAGGGCAATTTCATGGCATGCCTTTGTGATGATACAAAAGGACTACTTTGTTTGTATGAAGCCTCGTACCTTTCAATTGAGGGTGAAAGTATATTGGATGAGGCTAGAAATTTCACAACCAAAAATCTCAAAGAAAACCTCAAGAAAGACATTGATCAGAATCTTGCCATGCTAGTTAGTCATGCCTTGGAGCTTCCATTACATTGGAGGATGATTAGACTAGAGGCAAGGTGGTTCATTGATGTGTATGGGAGAAGATCAAATATGAATTCTATATTGCTTGAGCTTGCCAAATTGGATTTCAACATGGTGCAAGCAACTCATCAAGAAGATGTAAAACAAATGTCAAGGTGAGAAATGTGATGTAATACGACAATGATATTTGTCACCAGATGAATTTCATTATTTTTTTTTCACCTATGGCGCGGATACACACATCAAATTCAACGGGTGTTACATACTAGCTTTTAATGTAATATTCTCATCCATATTATATATTTATAGTATTTCATATACTTAATATATTATTCTCGTCCTTCTTATGAATATAGGTGGTGGAGGAGTACAGGTTTTGGAGAAAATTTGAGCTTTGCTAGGGATAGGTTGATGGAGAATTTTTTATGGACTGTAGGAGTGATTTTTGAGCCTCAATTTGGATACTGTAGAAGAATGTCCACGAAGATCAACTCACTAATAACAACAATTGATGATGTATACGATGTGTATGGTACATTAGAGGAACTTGAACTATTTACCAATGCCGTTGAGAGGTTGGTAGAAGTAATTGTGTTAATATCTATAATTGTATTTGAATGCTTTTTAAATATATTTGACATAATGAGAAATCAAAATATATTCCTTCACTTTTAGGTGGGATGTCAGTGCAATCGAACAACTTCCAGACTATATGAAGATATGTTTCCTCACTTTGTTCAATTCGATTAATGAAATGGCTTATGACGTCCTTAAAGGACAAGGATTGAACATCATTTCGTACCTCAAGAAAGCGGTAATCACATTCTTCATGAACTAATATTTCTTAATCTTTCTTTGGTCATGTTCAAAGTAACTTTCTATGTCCTTCATTTTATGTAGTTTTTTCAATTGATTGAACCATTCTAATTGTATCAGTGGGCAGATATTTGTAAATCTTACTTATTGGAGGCAAAGTGGTATTACAACAGATATACACCGACCTTGAAAGAATACATGAGCAATGCATGGATTTCAATATCAGCTCCGGTTATACTAGTGCATTCCTATTTTTTTGTTACTAAGCCAATAACAAAGCAAGCCTTGGAAGGCTTAGAGAGATATCATAACATAATTCGTTGGTCATCATTGATTTTACGACTTTCAGATGACTTGGGAACATCATCAGTAAGCAATCTATGCCCTTTTACTTTCCATAAAAAGGTTCATTAGGAATCAATTTAGGCCTAGGATAAGATAAAGTGAAGGGAAAGAAAAATGCTTCAAAATGGTCCTCTTTAATGCATTGTTATAGATATATATTTTTTTCCCTTTCTAGTTCTATCCAAGATCTAAAAAATGTCAAAGTTGAAGTTAAAAAACGATTACTCCGTTTAAGTATTGCACCTAGTTTTATGTATCTTATTTTCTTTGATTCAGGATGAGTTAAAAAGAGGTGACGTTCCTAAATCAATCCAATGTTACATGCATGAAACTGGTGCATCAGAAAAAGAGGCTCGGGAACACATAAAATACTTGATTGGGGAGACATGGAAGAAGATGAATGAAGATGGTGTTTCAGATTCTCCCTTCACTCAGACTTTTATTGGAATTGCAATGAACCTTGCTAGAACGGCACAATGCATGTATCAGTACGGAGATGGGCATGCCTCTCAAGGTCGTGACACTATAGATCGTGTCTTGTCATTACTAATAAAACCCATTCCCCTTATGTAGACAACGGTTAATAATTAAGTATTATGTTAGTCGGAAAACATCATTCTATAAAGCCTAAAGTCTCAGGTTGTGTAAGATAATTTGTGTAATTAGTCCATCAATAATTGTTGTGATTACTCATAATTGCAACTGTTTGAACCACTTTGGTATCTTTCTTTAAAATTATGCTTCTTTGATAGATTGGAAGTCATGAATGACAATTTGGTTGAAGACTGATGATGAATCGATTGTACATTCACCTTACATTTTAATGAAAATCCACATTACACAAACTTTAAGTAGAGTTGTCTCACAACAACCAAGAGAACATATTTATATAGTTTGGAACTCTATATTATAGATGGTTGTGTATACATAACATAATTTTTTCTTCTATCATACTCTTCATGATTTTAAGATAAATAAGCAGGAAAAAAGTTAGACTAGCAAGTCTAAGCTAGTTTGTGAAATTCAAGATTTATGACTAAAAAGAAGTATGCAAAAAATTATAAATTGTGGAAGGGAAAATTGAAATCTCTTTTGCACAATATTCAAGTTTGCAGCAAACAAAGAAAATAAATCCACATTTTTCTATAGGAAATGATAAATGAATATTTTTGGCCTGTAGTTCTTGATAAACCTCAAGCATAATTTTGAAGCCCTTAATTTAAAATTTTAAGATCTAAATTTGAAATTTGGTAGCCATTTTTTGTAATTGGAGTTCAATTTTTCAATTTTGAATCATTAATTAAATATTTTAATATCTTAAAAATAGTGAAATTTCATTGTGCTATGACAATGAAATTTCACTATATCCATAACTTGGAATCCAAAATTTCATTTTTAAAAAGAATTTTATATTTGTCATGTGTTATTTGATAGATTTTAATGAAAAGATTCGCAATATACAAATTTTATTGAAAACTGAAATCTACGTTAGATAGTTATTGAATTTTAAAGTTATGAAAATTCTACAAAAACAAAACAATAGTCGGATTTGTACAATGTGGGGGTGCTTGTTTGGTAGGATTGGAGAGGGGAAATGAACTCAATGTCCAGTTCACTATGGAGTTTATTGTTTGGTTAAGAATTTGTAAGGCAAATTAGGAGTAGGTAATTTTATTTCCACACATCATTTACTCTTTGTGCACATACTTAATGAATTAATTTTTTCTTATAATTTTACCACTAAACAAAATGACCAGTATGGATATCAATACACATATCAATCTTTAAAACTAAATTTTCTTACTACACATCTTCTATATGGAAATTCTCAGTACACATTTTTTTTTCAAAAAATTCACACATTAGACTTACTCTTTAATTTTTTGTTTCTTTCTCACTCCTTCCATTGATCATTGTTCACTTTATATTATTCCTTCATTGTTTCTCATAGATTTGACCAATATTGCTCAAATTTTTGTTCCTTATCCATTGTTTATAACATTGTTCCATTACACCCCACCGTTACTATTAATTTGTATGATGGAGGATTTACAAATCAATGAATATAGAAAGAAAAAAAAAAATGACTGTTAATAAAAAAAATTAGGCAAAAAATAGGTGAGTTTTTTTGTTCGAAAGTTTTTTTTTTTCAATTGTCGCAATTATCATTCTAAAAATCAATTTTGAAAATGTTGCACCTATACAGAAATTAAGTTTTGAAAACATTTTATACATTCAAAAACCAACCTAAAAAATAGTTATGTGTCAAAAATTTTTGGTTTGGAAGTATAGAATCAAAAACTATTGTTTGACTCAATTGTTGATTGTCGAATTTGTTTAATGTATTTGGATAACCAATACGAAACTATTTCCATCTCGTTGCCAGTCAATATGGAATGAATAATGAAAATAATATAACAATAACTTACACTCAGTTTGATTTTGAATTTTGAAAAATAATTTTTAAAAATTTCAATCCGTATTCTTTTGTTTTAGTGAACATTTTTAATATTCTAATTATTTTTTTTGGATTCACTTAATTTAGATACACTTAAAAAGCATACAAAAATATAAAAATTCAATACTTTTTGCTTTTTGTATTTATTATTTTTTTAAAGATTTTTGACAAATAATTTATTTTTTAAATGTATCTAAATTAAGTGATTCTAAAAAATAAAAGGTTGATTACATATGTAAAAAGTTTACTAAAAAATTAAAATTAAAATTAACAAAAACATTTTTGAAAACTTAAAAAGAAAAATTTTAATCACTTTTAGGCTAAAATTTATAAGCAAAAATTTAAAAAAAAAAAAAAAAAAAAAAAAAACAAAATAGGCTAAAATAACTAATAAAACAAAATGTCATGTCAAACCCATAAACATTTCACTTCTTCTTTCACAAATATCACATCAAAAAACAAAAAAATCAATCATCTTTCCAAATACAAAATTTTTAACCTACTAAGAGCATCCACAATGGGATAGCTACAAAAGTGTGTTAAAGTGTGTTATATGACAAAAAGTAATAAAAGTGGGACCTAAAAATACGTGTTAAGGTGTGTTAAGAGTTTGTTAATTTTAGAGAGTGAGTGCTTGTACAATGAATGTGTTAAAGTGTGTGTTAAGATGTGTGTTAAAATATATATATATATATATATATATATATATATATATATATATAAAATAAAATATAAAATAATTAAAAAGTGCAGTGAACCCCACTGCACTGTCAGTGCCTCTCTCTCTCTCTCTCTCTTTTTTTGTTGTGTCTCAAAAAACAATCGGTCGGCTATAAAATCATTCGGCCAGCCAAATGCATTTAAAGGCTAATAGCAGGGGTCCAGACGTCCGGTCGAACGACCACCACTGCACTTCCCAGTGTCCCTCTCACTCTCTCTCTCTCCCTCTCTCTCTCTCTTGGCTGGCTAGAAGCATCACTGCAGTTAGCACACAAGTTAACAACTGACACTAACACACCTCTTAGCAGCTCCATTGCAGCACAAAATAGTATTTTTAGCTGGCCAAAAATTTGCAGTTGACACTAACACATCCATTGTGGATGCTCTAAAATAGCCAAAAATTAAAATAGCTTATTAGGCCTCGTTTGGCAACTATCTTTTTTAGCTAAAAAGTCAAAAAGTTACTAAAAAAGTCAAAAAGCCAATCAACTATACCAAAAAGTCAAAGATTCCCTTTTCTCTCTACTTTTTGCACATCTTTTCGTAAAAAGTCAAAAAATCATCCAAAACATACTAATATTTTTTACATCATATTTTAGCCAAAAAGCCAAAAAATTACTAAAAAAGCCTGTTCCCAAACGAGGCCTTAAAATAGCAACTTCCCAAACACCTACAAAGTATTAGTTTTTGAAAAATAATAGTAAAATAATACAAAAAATTATTGATTGAAAAAAAAAAAATTCATACCTTGGTAAATATGGTTGGAAAATTGTTGGAGTGTGCCAAAAAAATGCCATGTGTGTAGAGCATGGTTTAGGTTTTGACTTAGGTTTAGAAGTGTGGTGGCAGTTTATGTTTTATGTGCTGTGTGTACATAATGTTTGGGAATTTTTGTACACATCATATGTTATGGGCATATTTGAAACATTTTGTGTGTGGAATGAGTAAACAAAAGATAAACAAATTCATTAAGTGTGTGCATTGAGAAAGATGTTCACAGAATGTAAATAGTGTATGGAAATAGAATTATTTTTAAGAATGAAATATTTTAGTTGTCGAAAATATCATTATTGTATTTTTAGCGACGAAATTGGATATTTAGTGATAAATTATTATTCTTTTGAAGTCACATTTTTTGTTTAAAAAAAGGTTTTTTTTTAAAACCAAATTGGCGACGAAATTTGATATTTAGTGATAAATTATTAGCTAAAAAGTTTATTTTTTTAAAACTAAATTAATATATTAGCTCGGATATGCACTAATAATTGCACTTTTAAAAACAAAGTAATTTGGTTTTAAAAAAATAAACTTTTTAAAACAAAAAATTTGACTCTAAAAGAATAATAATTCATCATTAAATATCCAATTTCATCACTAAAAATACAATAATGATATTTTCGACAACTAAAATATTTCATTCTTAAAAATTATTTTTGTCCTTAAATTTTTGCCTATGAAACTATAATTTATTATTTGTATTTATTTTACTTTTTATTGTGAAATAGTTAGGTTTGTGAATATGAACTGTTGATGCTTTAATTTATATAGCTAAACGTTCAATTTAATATTAATTTCATACTACTTATAAATTATCTGCTATCAAAAACAAAAATGAAGTTAAGACTAAAACGGGATTTGAAAATTAAACTTTTTCAAAAACATAAAAATAACAAAATCGAACCCCATATCCCAGCTACGAGCCCAGAATCCCCAGTATCATTGCATCACATACTTTGTTGTGAAAACGAATTGTGATCATTCATTTTTTAAATTAAAAAAACAAAAAATAAAAAACAAAAAAATCCAATGTCAAGATTTTAGTTGGAACAAATCGTCTTGAATTCTTCAATTTGTGGTCTTCAGGTTTTCAAAACTTGATGATGAACTTGTCTATGTAGAACAGAAATATGATGTTTCAAGTCGCATTACTTAGTCGCTTTCCTAAAGACAATATATGCATCCACCAAAAGGTGTGCAAAAGGTTACAGCAAATTCGTCTCCATAATACAATGAAGCCTGATTTAAAGATCAAGTCTACCGGTATCTGCACTGACGACAGTAGATCAGAATACTCTTGATATAATTAAGAAAACCAAGACACTGATAATCAAATCTACAGAATTTGATTACCAGTAAAAAAAGCAGAAATTTACTTAAGAAACTCTTGATCGAAAATTCAAAATCAAGAGGGAGGGAGGGAGAGAGAGAGAGAGAGAGAGAGAGAGAGAGAGAGAGAGAATTGCAGGAATACTTTTGAATTTTTGGATTGAATGAAACGGCTGATTTCGCAGCCTATTTATAAGCCTTGATGAATCTGATCGAATGGTCATGTTTCTTGATCGCATTTGACCGTTGAATCGTCGATCTATGGTGCAGATCATTCTCACACCGAATAGCTGTCTTGACTAATCACTCCTAATGACGATCGGGTGCCATCTTATCCATACGATCACGCGCATATCCAATCAACAGCTATGATCAAACTACTCTAGATCGGACACGCAACTGTTCGATCGGTTGGTTAATTCAGTGCCCACGGACACTACGTCACTGCCACACAGAGCTATCTGT